TTCATATTGGTTATAATTCATCATATGTTCGCGTCCATGAGATTTATATAATTTCTTCTTGATTGACTCATACACAATTATCATCGATTATATTAGAAAACGCATATATTTCGAATAATAATATATTTTTTTTTGACTGAGCTATATATATTTTAAACTATATATGAAGATGATGTAATGACTATAACTATGAAATTGTATAGGTGTATTTCTCAATGGCCGCCAAAATCTCGTTGAGAGGGAGAGAACCACGAGACTTGGAAACCGTGTTTCATTCATTCCAATTACCGCGTCCACTAATCTAGCTACCGTTCATTGCATATTAAGAAGAAGAAGTAGCTTCTATGAGATATCTATAATATTATGTACATATGTTAAAGCGCGGTGGTCGTCGCGCAGCGCGTGTTAGAATTTCATGTAAATAAACAATGTATTTTACACGCGTTGTATACGTCGCTATGAGTCCCGTATCGAACAGGACGCGGCACGACGACTGCCGTCCTTTAAATCATTTTTGAACATTCCCTAGAAAAGTGCGAGTTTTGTGGTGGTGTGTGTACGACCAGTAGCTCATGCTCAGGAGGCTTCAGAAAATATCCCGGAAGAAGCTGCACATGTTCTAAAGGACACATTTGTTGTTTGGACCCGGATTTGGATCCAGGTAAGTTCACGTGTTTTATTGTGTATTATATTATAGCATTGTCAATACCAGCGAAGTTTATGACGTCATTGCCACAGATTATTCGCGATAATGTATTGCATTATTGCACATCAAGGTTCCGTGCAATGCATAGGAATAAAATGTTCGGGAAACAAATAAAGAGACGGGCATTTAATGATAAGGGAAATTATGTGGTGAAAACGAATAAAATGTAAACTAAAAATGAATAACTCTGAACTACATGAAAAATAATTATTTGTTCTTAGTTTACATGAAAAATGTCATTCCCGCCATAACGACAAACACAAATCGTCGTCTGGCCAATCCCAACTTCGCGAGAAACACCCGGTACCTACGTCCAACGCGTATATAAACGTAGCTCAATGTCGACGAAACCCAGTTAAATACGCTCGAAAATGCATGAAATGAAAAAAAATACTTCACAGCAGACTAAATAGAGAGTACATGTTACGCCACCAATTTTGAAGACCTTCCTGTCGTTGAGCTCGCCGACTTCCAGCGGGAATTTTACGCTTCAGCTCGCAAGCAAGATGGGGTGCAGTGAAGCAAGACGTAGCGGTCTCAAGCACACTTTGCACTCCATAATGCAAAGTGTGTTTTCGTTCATTATTGAATACATTATTGTTTAAATAATACACGTGTCATCCTAAACATTGAACTAATATTTGTTTTCTTTGTTATTTATGAACCAAATGGACGTCATTTTTTTTCTATTTTCAACGGTCCACCGTCAACTTGTTTAAACACAAATTTGGAAAAACCATGTATGTTGATGAAAGTTGATAAAAATGACTTTGATGTTTGTAAGGTTAAGACGTGAACAAAAGTGGAAGTAAAAATGTCTTGAAACAGTGATAGACAATAACAAATTGATCGTTTCGAGTTGTATAAATATATGTAATGTCATATCTTTTAGCATCAAACGTAATTTAATTATAAACACATATATACAATTCTAGATTGTCGACAGTCGGTCGTACCTAACATTAATCTGTTATTATTAATATATATTGTGTATAAATGTAATAGGCATAAATGAATTGCGAACGCCGGGACAGGAATTATGGAGTGCCGGTAAGCACGACCGTCTCTTGGGACTAAAGTCTCTCGCTTGAAATGCTTCGCATTTCCCATTAAATACATTCGGCGTTTGAATATCTAGGATACACAATTACATTAGGCCCGATGACTGTCAACAGTAAATACAATTCGTGAGGTTGTTGGAAAACGTTTAAAGTGTTAGGTTTTCTAAAAAAAATTGATAGTGACCATATCGTATTAAGACCTTATGTGCAACGTCAGTGAAGAGCAATCTTGGTAGCATAGTGGCTGTCGCATCACACTCGAACCCTTCTTTAGGCCGAACATCAAAAAGGGTCGGCCCCTACCCTGGGTGAGTGTGCCATAGACTCAATGGGAAGGCCAATTCCGCTTTTGGGAGCCTTGGTTAAATTCCGCCGGTGTTTGTGTTTGGCCGGGCCTGGTTGACGCCAGAACAGCGCATTGAAATTGCTATTTGATAGACAAATGGCCGCACAGCCCTGTCATGTAGTTCCAAACATGAATATGACTTCTTTGGTAAAAATTCACTATGTGTCAATGACTAGCACTTGCAATTTGCAAAGTCAGGAGAGACAACAGTGATATTTCAATGTCCGAAACTGTCGCCTGGCACAAAACATTTGCAAAAAAAAAGGAAAAGCAATCTTGAGTATTACGAACATGTGTGATCTCCTTCACAAACATTTTTTGTTAATAAAATTGAACGAGTTCAAAAGAAATTTATCAAATGTGTATGTACACCGTCAAATATAATATACTCTTCAAAAGATTGTGTATCACTTTGCAACCATTTCAACTTATTGCCTTTAGAAATACTTATTACAGAAATTCTTCCATTCTTATTACAATTGCTTCTAAATTTTGGCGAAAATCCCATTTTACACCTTGTCATACGAGGTTGCGCTCGCTTTTCCTTGTCCCAATATGTCAAGATGCGACTTTTGTCAAAAAATGTTAATACTATCCTCGTGTACTTGCTCTGTTCAATACAAAGTAAAAAAACAACACAATTAATATTTTTAACATTTTTAATAGTTTTTAAAACAATGTAGTCGCATTTTGTCATAGTTATTTATGGTTTTTAAATATTTGTTAAATGTTGTTTTATTTGTGATATTTTTGTGCAAGCCTATAATTGTTTTTTTTTTTGCGGTAGCTCAATAAAAATAAAAAATAAATAAAAAATAATCCACGAATATTTTCTAATTACAGGCTTCAATAGCTGCAAATTTAATTCCCACTGTCAAGGAAGGTGCATTGACAAAGACGAGGATTGTGAACCAACAGAGAAGCAATGCGTGGACGAACCTTGCGTATGCACGAAAAAAGACAAATGCTGCCTTAAAAGTAATTTCATACTTCTCTTAATCCTTGAAAAACGTGTTAAAAGAAATATGAAAAAAAACTTTAACATAATTAGTCACATTCTCTAGCGCCGATACGCTTGTGTGTCGTAAACTGACATTGATGGATGTAGGAATTGCCGTTCTAGCGACATCTGTATTTATCTGTTTCATTTTTTTTATTAAAAACGGAAAAATTAAATTTAAATTAATTCAAGTTATTCGGCATTAATGTTCTATTATTCATCTAGTTGTTTTCCTTTTTGTTTTACAGAATGTAATCTGAAAGACGGAGGTAGGTTCGGGATTTTTACGTATAGCATTACGGAGGCATTACGGATGTAATTTATGATATTTTTTATATATTATTTTTATTCAGTATGCACCCTAGGCCTCCGGCCCTTTGTGCAAAAGGAAATTACAACAGTAATTTAGTGACCTTAAATATAAATACATAAATACATGCGTATAAAAAGGACAGACTCAAGGCATGTATTGTTCTTTCTGTTTGAAAGCAAAAAATAAAAATTTGGCTAAATTTCTCACAGTGTCCACATTGGATGAGAACATAAGCTGAACAAACTTCTCTATATTGGGGTTAATAAAATACTGTCTAGGAATATACTTTTCCATCAAAGACTGGTAGGAAGTACATATCAAAAGAAAATGATACTCGTTTTCTATGTTGCCATCATGACAACTGTGGCATAACCTATTTTCCCGTGGAAGATTTACATGTCTTCCCTCTTCAGTATGTTCCTGGCTTGACACACGAAAAAACGTTAGTGCCCATTTAAAAATAGGTTTCATTGGAATTAGTAGATATTGTTCTAGGGAAAGTGCCTCCTTAAACAATTTATAAGTATCAAGTCTACTAAAGCTGTCTATGTCTATATGCCATTGTTGAAATTCAATGTCTTTACATCGTTTTCTGAACTCAAATAGAAATTTGGGTTCATTTCCAACTCCCTGGTTATACCAAGCCTCAGCAAAACCGTTATTCAATAGGATATTTTTTAGTTCATTGACCCAGCAATCAATCTAGATAACATTGATGTACATATCTGTTTGTATCTGTTTGTATCCATTTTTAGTATTTTTTCCAATATTTTACCATTCTGGGTAGCCTTAATGCACGTAAACTAAATCTCCGAAGCTCTCCTCGTACTGCAGTATTAGTTGCTGGTATATTCTGTTTCAGGGTATATTTACAAAATTCGGTATGTACGCGTTCTGTGTTCGGGGTTTACTCTCTAAGAGAGGCACAATTGTTTTCCCAGAAGAGCAACCTATTGTATAACATTCTAGTAAAGATCTTACTGATAATGGGCAGTAATGTGACCCCCCTGTAATTGTTTGGTTCATCTTTTTTACCCTTTTTAAAAATAGGGAAAATAATCAGACCAGGACACAGGAAACATACTTGTGTTAAAAATTACATTGAAAAGTTGACATAGCAAGGAAATAAATGACCACATATCTTATAAAATTCTGTCCGTATTCCATCAATACCAGGGGATTTATTGTTTTTCAGGCAATTAATATTAGCAATAACTTCATCTTCTGTGATTGGCTGGTCCAATACCTCTATGATAATATCCTCATTATGAATACCCAAGTCCCCCCAGGGTCTCTCTTATTTTTTTAAAAAAGACAAACACTTTCTGGAGTCGTTTCCTTTAAAGCTTGTCCAATTTCTTGTAGAACCTTAGCTTTAAAATTAGCTGTCTTTTCACGTCAAAGATTGCGATATCGAGTTTTTTTTCTTTTATAATTTTCCAAATTTCTCAAATTCTTAAATTTTCTATACGTGTTCAATAGGCAATATACATTTTTTTTAAAATAAAAAGCACTCTTTATCAAACCAGTCATTTTCCTAAAATGCATTATCGTGAAATGGCAATTTAGGCTTCGCAACTTTATAAAACAGTTCATTAATTTTTTGTACCAAAATATCAACACTTTCCAATAAACTATCCAAAAAAAGGTAAACTGCATCTTGCAGCATATCTTCATTAAATAAACTAGTAAACACATTATGAAGAACTTTGTAAACGGTTGAGACGACTGGGACTGATGTGCACTATTTTCTGCATAACTACCAATCATAAAATTCGTTTCTAGCGTAAATTGTAAAGGGAAGTGATCAGATTCCAATCTATTACCGATTAAAAAAATTAAAATACTGTTAAAAATATCTTTCGATACAAGTAAGTAATCAACAAGACTTTTCCCCATTGCGGACATATAAGTAAATGCGCCATAACAGTCACCTTTTGTCCTACCATTTACAATGTTCAGTGATAAAGTCTTGCACAACTCCACCAGTTTTTCACCATATTCATTGACATCTGTGTCGCAACTATTACGTAATCTTTGAACTGTGTCATAAATGTTGTTATCTATCGGTAAGTAATCAACACTGTCATAAACAATGTTGTCTTCAAGTACACCTGTTCGGGCGTTAACATTCTCACATAATAAAATTTTGCATTGATCATATTTACTATGGAACGCAGAAATTTTGCCCTCACTAGTATCAAAGATATCATCGTCAGAATATCTAGAGGAGCCTTTTGATGTAATATAAAGTAAACCAAGTATCAATGGGGCGGTAACTGGAAATGCTAACTTTAGCAATATATTGGCATTATCAGATTCCAAATATGTGATATACTTGCAAAGGCTATGTTTAATTAAAATAAGTAAACCCCCTGACGGTCTGCCCCGAGTATTACTAGGCGCACGAATTTTCGAACAACTTTGGTATCCCTCAAAGGAAAACGTTTGCCTTTTTGTAGCCCACGTTTCTACGTTTTGCAATTTAATTGCTGAATGGTAAATTACCACAGTTGCTGCTGTGATTCTTGAATCACATACACATTTTTCAAAAAAAAATATAAATAAATATAAATATTCGTCCATATTGCATCTTTTAAGATTGTCGAATGACGGGTATTTTGAGATTCGTTTTGATTTAACGTTCTCGACATGGGTGTGGGTTATTCATTATTTAAACTGGAAAGGTATATTTGTATTATTAATTGGAATAGTAAGGATAATCTTAATATAAAGTCAATGGTAACTTCTACTATTGTTACAGTTGACAAGTGTGCCGAGACTTTTCCTGGCCGTGGTAAGTGTCGTCCACAATGTCAACAAGGCTTCGAAGTTGCATATCATTTACCGGGATTATGTGAAAACAGATGTTCTTGCTGTAAACAACTAGGTAAATTACAAAATCACTCTGTGTCAACTTATTTTGAGTCGTTCGAAATATTGTCGAATTAAGTGCAAATAACTGTTCTTTCTGATTTCTTTTAAATAACGCGATATTACGTATCAGTTGACTGTGAATCGAACTGCAAGGGTGTATGCAGCACTTCGCCCATTGATGGATTTGTGGAAAAGAAGTATTGTGAATGCCCAAATAATAAACTTTGCTGGATTCCAAAAAGTAAGTAACTATACATATATGCGTTGTCAATATCTATATTATGTCATTTGCATTTGCAAACAAGTGATTTGAACATACTGAGAACCACAACATAAAGTTCTCATTTTAACCTTGTCTCGTAATTGTATAATATTTTTTTAAAGCGACGTTTAAAAAAAATTACAGTGCCGCAATAATCATTTTTGTTTCAATGTATTTTTTATTTTTTCATCAACTGTAGGAATGGGAGGTGAGTATATGAATAATATCGCACTATTTTTTTTGTTTATAAAATATACATATGCAACCATCGTTGGTCTATAATGTAAACCATTGAATGTACAAAAAAGACTATCACAGACTGTTTTTCCCTGCATTACTGCAGAACGATATTAAAAAACATTCATTCGTTTGTAAAACAATTTATCTCAAATAACCTATTGTTATTTCCACATTACGCTGTTCATGAAACGTGATTATCGATAAATTAAATTGCTACAACTGAATATGAAACAAAAATATTCATAACAAACATACAAACATACAGTACAATCGAATTCTTGTCAATGCTATTATAAGGTCACCCAAATGTCATTGGCGACCCAAAGTACAGTAGTTTCGATGGTATGGATTTCAAGTTCCACGGGATATGCTCATACGTGCTATTCCAGGAATGCGTTATGACACCTAGGTTTAAGGTTATTGCCAAACATGCATCTGCTGAAGACATGATGGGTCACCAAAAAGCTTACGTGGTTGCGGTGAGAGTCATTGTATACAACACAGTTATTGACCTTACTTCTAAAGAAGTAAAGGTAAAGTATCCAAGATGTCTATGCATGCGTACCCCGCTTCTAAAAGAAAAAAAAACAAATAACTAGATAGCGAAATAAAATTGTTATATAGAAACTATAATAGCCCTTATACTTGATCCTTGAATTTCTTTCAATTGCTTTGTTTCAACTTATGCTTTCCAAAGTACCAGTTCGTCCTCGTATTATTTTATTTATGTTGACCAGTTATACGTTGATAATAGAGTGCACGTGAAAAATGTTTCCGTAATCAAAAGCATTGTCAGGATATTTACAATACTTTTTTCTCAAACCCGAATAAATTGGATACATCATGAATAAGTGAACATTACTGTCCAGCTATTTTTTACTTCACGTGTGTATTCTATGACAGTAAATATTCTGGTAAAGCTCGGTACAAAAATTAATGCTTTTTTCTTGAATTCAGTTTTGTGCTACATAACACGTGTTTCTACATTACTCACACTGCTGCATGTAGTAAAATGTTTTAGGAAGTATGTAAACATATACATACATAATTACGTATTATTATCTTCAGATAAATGGAAGTTCTGTTCTATCAAAACTACCGATGACTGTCGAAGGTGGTGTCAAAATCTTCGTCGATACTCTTCATAAGCGAGTGCATGTTGAGCTCTCCGACATATTCACAGTCACGTGGAACGGGAATGGCAACGTGAAAGCATCTGTTGAAAACGACTGGCATGGGACAGTTTGTGGAATGCTCGGTGATTCTGACGGTGATGCCAGTAATGATATGAAGATGCTGTTGCCGACTGGTCGCTTAAAATTTACTCAAAATGCAACTGAGTTCGGATATAGTTGGGAGATTCCAGGCAGGTAAGAACGAGATGTTTTTTTACATAGCTATTAATTATTATGCACGACACAAAGAGTTGGATTTGTTTTTTTATGTTACTCAAAGTTATAGTGATACAGTCTACCTGAGAAAATGCAGGAATACAAAAGACAAACAATGAATTACGTATATTTCAGTTATATTTACGGAATCTGTGTAAAACCATAATTGGCATTTGAAGACATGCTGTAACCACTGAAATCTCGATGATAGCGAGAATGTCACGAGACTTGTTTTTGCCTTCAAATAGTGTTCCATGGCAACCACTGACCTATATATAAATAAGATCAAATTTGGACAACTGCTGCAATAATTTCTTTTACTGAAATGACTCTGCATGTTATATTCATTTCATAAACTAAATATCCCAACATAAAAAGGATGGTTATTTACTCTAATGTCAAATCTCAGCGTTTGAATTTTAAAACGCCATAGCCGTAACGTTGTGTAGTGTTCTATATGAAACCCATGCAACTTATACATTTGCTTGTAACAAACGTTTTTTCACACGAGATTAAAACGCGCGCTTCATGATGCTTCAAACCGTACCTCACGTACTTGTAATCCTCTTTCATTTCAGTTGTGATCCGAGTTATGACTTGTATTAGAAGTATATCATCATCATTCCAGCTGCTGACCGTCACCCTGGTTACTAGATGATCCGTCTAACTAAGAATGAACATTAAACAAACGGACGTTTACGATTATCTGTAAAAATTGTATCACAATCACGAAGAACGTATTGTACACATGCAGAGTTTAGTACAAACATATTAATATACTTTGGCATTATCATAAAATCATTTGTTCTGAAACAATTCCTGCACATGCGTGCCTGATTATGTAATAATTACTAGTGCTTTGGTCTTGTAAATGCAATTAAAACAATATATAGCAATAACAATAAGACTATCTGCTATCTTCATAATAATGTTACAGGGTGTAGTAAATTTGCGGTATTGCACGGGGTATCTGAAAAGCGAACTTCGAATAAGGAACGGTTATGCGATATTCCAAGGTTCAAAAGTTTTTTATTAGTTTTCATCATCTTGCTCATATATCGGCGTAACAGCCGGTTATGTCAAATGATGTACTAAGATTGTCACGAGCACTCCACAAAGTGTGCGCTCATGCACCCAGACATTACTTTCCGAACTCCGAGGCACAGACTTCTCATAGACTATAGTGTCTAAATTCATGGTCGCTTTTATATTTCATTCGCTTACTTCATCATACTTGTTCTTTAACAGGAATAAATTAAACAGATAGTAAAAACATATTCGTCGATTGACAATATCAATTTCAGAGACTGTCAACTTAAACAACAATATCATTTCCATCTCTATTGTCCTGTTTTAACATTTAGCGACGTGATTGCAATAAACTGACTATAATGATAAAGAAAATAACGTTGATTCGCATAAATCTTCATTTGGGACTGTGGTGTTTCGCAGCTTTCGACACAACTAGTACTGTCATTATTGTGGTATTAGTAATAAGAGAAGATGGTTTAACTATGCAATCGACACCTATATGTAACACACAACACATATCTATGGATCACCACAAAAGGACAGCATTTACACATAGTATATCATTCAATATGTATATAAGACAAACACAAAATTACTACATTGGAAAAGAGTTTATTACTGTTAGGTCTGTGGTGTTAAAGCGGAAATGGCTGTAATTTGGGATATTTATTTTGTTGGAAGATAACCACATAATGATGATTAAATATGGTTTTAGACACAATTGCATGGGCAAAGTGACGCTACACAAGACTAAGGTAACAGAAAATGCATTAAGAAACTTAAGACCGAGGAGTCACCATTTTGTTTAAACCAGCCACGAGGTAGAGACTGTGGGAAATTACGAGGCATGACGCACAATGTTATAAGAAATAACACATACCATCACCAGTGCGAGATCATGGGGTAGAAGCCTCTCAAGAAGGCGACATATTTGACATTTCGCCCGGGCCAGGTAAGTTCTCATCTTGTACCATACAGTCCAGTCATTCTAGCAAAAAAGAGGGGCAAACCCGTCACAAACTGCAACAGAAATAATTTCTTCACAGTGCTTTTCGGAAAGGTATCTAGATTGACATACTAAAAGTCTAGGAATATCTAGGCGTCCGATATATACCTAATTTGCATATATTCAAAATGGCGATTTTGCACATTTTTACAACATGGAAATATAACTATTTGAACATATCTTTAATTCTAGATAAGGTATTTTAAAAATTCATGATGCTATGGTATTGTTTTGAGTCATTAGAAGGTAAAAGGGTGCCAAATGTGTTGATTGGGTAGAGGAAAATTAGCATAAATCCAATATGGCCGCGATAATATAATTATTTAATGTAACTTCTGATCCAGCATAAGTAATAAGTATAAGATGCTAGAATACAATTTTAAACAGAATCGTACAGTACAGAAAAGATGTAAATAAATGGTTTCCTGGGTAGACGGATGCTTCATCTGCATAAATTCAACATGGCCGTCACATCTAAAAGAAAAACTAGAGGAATGAAACACCTTGGTTGGATCTACAAATCTGCTATACTATATACATAATAGACCATTTAAACGTACATTTTCAACTCTATAAACTATATTTTTGATTTAACAAACTGTATTAAATAGTTATAATTCTGTCCAAAAGTTTATTGTTTGATTAATGTAATTGCTAATCGTCATCACTATCTTCATCAGATATCTGAACTACATTTGTGCATCCAGATCCTAGACATTGACCACAAACTGCAGAACATTCAAGGCAGGTACACCTGAGACTGCAACAGTCTGTGGAACAGTGGCATCTCACTATCTTCAAAGCAAATTCAGGTGCTGACTCCTTGTCAGACATTACAGGAATGACGTTCGGTTGTGGATTGCGTCCTGTGATTTTCTTCCTGGCAAAAAACCTGATTCCTTTCTTTATCACAACTTGATTGTCCATAAAGGCGATACACCCGTCCGAGAAGAACAGGGCCCCTAGTTCAGTCCGACGCCTACCTGAGGCGAGGGTGAGTGGGAAGACTGTTTTCCACGTCAAAAGTTTGAGTGGTGCTGATCGGAGAAGCTCAAAGGGCAGTCAGGCTGCTTAGAGCGGCCAACACAACCGATAAGTTCCAATTATTTGGTTCCTTCATTCAGGGTCTACGCCTCTGAAAACAGCCTCTTGATGGTAGGACAACCGGCTAGCCTCGTCCCCAAAGAATCCCAATGGTGGGTAACAAGGCTGATCTATAGCCAACAATCGCTGAAACGACAAGTCCATTTTGTTCAAACAATGGACGAAAAGTCAGCTATCTGGCCAACAAAGGGATAGCATGGATCTCCCTTCCACTACACTAATCAGTGTACGCACGTCATTTCGAGGCGCAGGCTGTGTTGGTGGGATCCCTGTTCGCTCTGGCCAGGACGTTTGCAGCCCACTCAGCCACGAGAGGGCGTCTGCTTGACCGTTTCTCGCCCCTGGAAGGTGGTGTGCGGCTAGCTCCTTATTGTATTCCAGGTGCCAAAGGAGAATTTGCTCCACTAGGACTGACAACGATGGGGATCTGTCCCCCCTCCTTGTAGCTACAGAAGACCATCGCTGTGTTGTCCATGCGAACTATGGGTAGAAAGTGCTAATTGCACTTCTTTCAGTTCGAGCCAGTTGATATGGCAGTCCTGAATCTAATGCAGGGGCCATAGCCGTGGCGAGTGGGTCCAAGGGAACCCCCTGCCTGAGGTTGGCAATTGCTGACCACCTGAGGGCAAGGCATCAATCGCTTGGTCCGAGAGTGTTACTCGACTCTCCAGTTCCCGAAAGAGAGCCCCGGTGTTGCAAAAAGTGCACTGTAACGGGCGGCTGCGTAACGCGACCTGGGGGAACTACCCTGTGAACCGCTGAAATCATTCTGATGATCTGCATTACTTCTCGAAGGGACACAGAGGGAACTCTGGCTAGGCGTTTGGCTAGGTCTTTTAGGCCATTGAGACTTCAGAGTGCTGGCGCCAAACAATTCATTCCAGTGGGCTGGCCACAACTTGAAGGTTGAAGGTTGCCACTCTGCTCTCAGTGCGTGGATTGTTTCCGACTAACCAGTCGAAATATTCCATGAACACGGCCACCCCTTTTGCCCGTCCCACCGAATTAAAGAAAATTGTGGTACCGGGGTCGGGGTAGACATTGAAGAATCCGATCGGGCGCGAGATTTGACTCCAGACTCTGCTGGCTTCAGTCTCAAAGTTTCCAGCGGAAAAGGTTGAGCATAAAATTGACCTACCCTAAGGACTTTCCCACGAGGGACCAAGGTCCTCCCATCAACACCGTCTGTGCGTTCCCCCCACGTCCAGCACTCGGCGGGATCCAAAGCAATACCGAATACAGAAATCTGGATCCCAGAAGTGACAGTCCTACCGAGAGTGACTTTCAGCATCGAAGGTGGGGTGGCTAGTTGAACATCGGGTCACTAGTATCGATGTCCCCCCTCACCCCACAGCGTGGCTCACGGAGTCACTACGAGGAGCAGACTCTTAGGGGCCGCTCGAGGCTGCACATTTAAATGATACTATTTTGACGGCCATATTGGATTTATGTTATTCAATCAAATGTTTCACAATCACACACATCAAACCATATCGCAGCAACTTGAATATCTAAAAAATGTCATTTAGAATAAAAGATATGTCATATGTCATAATAGTTATATTTCCCATGTTGTAAAAATGAACCAAACGGCCATTTTGAATATATGCAAATTAGGTATATTTCGGAAGCCTAGATTTTCCTAGACTTTTAGTATGTCAATCTAAGCACCTCCCCGGAATGTATTGTGCAGAAATTATTTTTGTTGCAATTTGTGATAGGTCAAACCATAAATTGACTGGACTAATATTCCCCGCTGAGTTCGCTTGTCAAAACCGGATTTCAATAGTTTCCTCTGGAGACCATCTTCATCAATTTCCAAGTCCAATTTGCAACGTCGGCATATAGCGTATGTTGTCAGTGTCCACGCCTCGGCGATGGCCGTTACAAATTCGTACTAAGGACACAGGAAATGTTTTATTAAAAATAAGAAGATCGATAGTTACACTATTGCCTGTCACAATAACTAATAATGATACTGCAAGTGACATTTCAACACGCCAAATGAAACAAAATTTAATAAATATTTGGATGAAATATCGATTTAAGAATATCGTAATGTATATGAGAGGTCACTAACCCGCGGCGTTGTTGCACGTTATCTAACAGCTTGTATTATTATAATACTCCATGTCTCATCTTACACACGCTAGCTGAAGGAGGATCAATCTGATTAAAATATGGTGTAGTGTACGGGCTTTAATTATTTTGGCTATAAACTTATTTTAATTTTAGTTTTTATTACTTTTGTTATTAATGCCTTTTTTTATTTTATTATTTTACTTTGATTTTGATTTTGTGATTTTTTTTAATTCCGCCCTACATACATCTGATCCGACGCCTATGTAAGTCTCGTTCAAATCTCACGTAAGTAACAGCCAATCACAGTCCCCCTTTTATACAGGCTGTCGGTTGCTTACTTTTCAGTGTAGCGATACTCTACGGGCAATCTTTCTGTACATTA